CACAATTGGGGCCAAGGAGAGACATGGGAGTTTGGCCAGCTGGGAAGGGACCGCGGGAGGGCTCCAGGACATGGCTAGCCTGTCTAGCTCAGTCCCGATCAGCCAGACCCCAGCAGCAAGCTAACCTACCCGTCAGAGCATCTGCCCCCTGGTGGTCAGTGCACGTCATAGCAACTGGTCGACCAGTTCACTGTCTGCCCCCGGGTAGTTAGTGCACGTAATAGCAAGTGGTTGAGCGGCATTAGCATATCATTAGTATATTACGCTTTGATTGGTTGAATGGCTGACCAATTGACCGAACACTTAGCATATTAGGCTTTTAATATATAGGACTAGAGGCCTGATGCATGAAAATTCATGCAACAGTAGGCCTTCCTTTCCCTGGCTGCCAGCACCGGATTCCCTCCTGTACCCGGGACCTGGGCTGCTGGCACTGGCTTCCCTTTGGCACCTGGGACCTGGGCTGGCTTCCCTTGAGCCACCCACAGGCACCGGGAACCCAGGTTGGCTTCCCTCAGGCCCCAGCTTCCTCAGGAAGGATGTCCGGAATGATGTCTGGAAGACGTCTGGTCTAATTAGCATATTACCCTTTTATTATTATAGATGGTCTTTATTATGCTGAGGTACTTTCCTTCTATTTCTATTTTATTGTTTTAATTATAAATGGATGTTGTATCATCTTATCAAATGTTTTTTCTACATTTAACATTAGATTCTTATGAACAGGGAAATATATTCAGAGTGTTGAGAAAAATAATAGTCACCTAGTATTCCATACCCAAATAAAAAAGCACTGGAGAAGAAAAAGTTCAGTATTTTTAGATATTTACCAAATAAAGAGCTTAAATACTTTTAAAACCTTGCCAAAATCTACCAAAGCATATATACTTCAGCAAATGAAATATTGAACCCAGAAAAATGAGATAATGATAAAAGCTACCAAATATAAAATCTGTTAATATATCTTAGTATATCTATGTGTTAACTTTATAAGGCTATTAAATTGGTTCCTTTATAAGGCAAAACTAAAATTCTAGACAATCTAGAAAGGTTGTAATTTCTTATGGGCAGCATGGTATGTTATGTTTGGAAAGAGAATAGAATGCTTAATAATTATATATATATATATATATATATATATATATATATATATATATATATAGAAAGGATTTACAAATAGGTGTAGTCCATTTAGAAGTATGGTTTATAACTTTCAAGTCAGCAGAGAGTAAAATAGGAACAAAAATAGAAGTCATAATTCTGTTAAAATTATTTACTAAAAATAATCATTTCAACCAGTGTATGTTTTAATCTATTTTTAAAATTATGACAAAAAATAATATAATTATTTAACTTCATTTGCTTAGAAATAATGCCTTCTATTTTTAGACTACTCCTCGAAGCCTTTTGATTTCATATACTTCTCAAGATGAATGAAAGTCTAGAATTGCTTCAATGAAAAGCAGCTTTATTTAGAATTGAAGGTTATATTATAAAAGATCACATTTACTTTGTGAAAACCTTCAGAACATGAAAATATTATCTGAGCCAATAAGTCTTCCCTTTTATCCTGATCCCAATTTCACCTTTCAGGTTGTCATCATATCCTCAAGCCTCCTCATGTAATACCAGCAAATTCTAGTGTCTCAAAATTTCTTAATGCTCTCTGTTTCCACAATCATCTCTGATAACATGATTAGAAAGAAAATCATAAACACAAAGCATAAATGTTTCTGAACTACAGCAGAGGACAAAACCATGAAAGCTTTAACAATACTCTTCAGAAGATCAAATCAATACCTCTGTTACCAAAGGCCCTGATTGTCTCATTCATCCCTGTGAATAATAATGCAATGGTCCAAGAATTGACACCATCCTTTCCTCCTGAATTCTAAAGGAGCACTAGAGGAAAAAATAAAAATATTTCTAGAAAGAGGAATTTTTTTTAATTCTCAATGTTTCAGAACTTTAATTTCCATAGCCAAATGTTATTTTGTTAAATTATATCATGTGATACCTAAAGGTTTAAGGAATGTATCCTTTCTACATATATATATATTTGCTAGAAGGTCTAAAATACTCAAACCTAACTAATAGCTCTAAGTACAAATGCCACTACCTTAATAAGATTTATTCCAAATTACTATCTAAGAGTACTTTATTAGAGATTCATATGTCACTTCAATACTCACAAATGAACAAAAATTGTATTCAATATTGGATGTTGTTTCCAATTATTTCTCCAATAGTGTTAAAATATTCTTAGATATATGAAGTGAAAGACTACTTGATGTAAATTAATCCCTTATGAATTAATGTTATTTTTAAATTCAATTTGTTAAGTAAATTGAGACAATTAAAAATTAATTCTGTAGCATCAATATACCTAAGTATGATCATTTTAATTATGAACCTACAAAATAAAAAAAAAGTTATGAAAGATAATTTGAGATTTGAACCAAGAATAAACTACTTTATTATATATAATAGAATAACCTAAATTACTGTGCTTAGTTTTAAATTTAAGCATCTCTGCTTAATATAGTGTTTATGTCCAATTAAACCTGATTTATAGCAAGGATAAGAGTGCCTCCCTCTTTTGTGCTTCTAAACTTTGGATCTAGATAAACCTTAACAATATTACAGAGAAAGGAATCTCATGTTCACACATTCAGTAGCACAACATTTAGGGTAAAATATAATGAATTATTTAAATGTGATTAATATACATTGCTCATTTGATATTGATAGTATAGGTAAATATAACTTATTATATTTTAAACCAGCTTATTGTGTTTTCATTACATAGTAGACTAAAATGATCAAATCTATTCAAATAAATTATGAAAATTCCTAAAACCTACATAAAAGACCTACATATATGGCGTTTATAATTTTTCTGATTTATCATCTCTAACAGCAAATTTATAGATAAATCTATATTTTCCCCATAATTCTTAGTAGCCTGGATTCCAGAGTGGATGTGCAGATTCTGTTATACTAGTGCCCATATCAGACTCCAGAAAATAGGAATACAGGGCCTAATTAATGATCAGAACTTAGGGTTCCTCTGCAGTTTTTGGCAGGCAGGAAAGCATCAAGGTTAAGGACATGGATGCCTGGAATGTGAAAATTAAAGAGGAAGAAAGGAAGAAGTGAGGAACAGGAGAAAGAAGGGAAGTACGGAAGGAAAGCACACAAAGACCAGGTTGAGAAAAATCTAGGCTTCAGTTCTCAATCTAGTATTAGTTACTAAGTGGCCCCAGGGAATAACAGTCTGTTCTCAGTAACTTAGCATCCTGATTCATAAAATGAGAGAGAAAAGCATTTTCGAAGGCTTTCCAGATCTAAAACACTACAACCTTCCAATTTCAAGGAATGAGAGAAAAATGAGCATACTGTAGCACAATTGTCTATCTTTATTCAATAGAGTCTGGTTATCAGGGCCTAATGATCATTTACATCAATAAATTTCACGGTACATCATTATACACATGATTATAAATACAATTCTTTGATCTTACAACCTTGGTGAAATAGACACATAAATAATTAGTACAGACTACACAGTAGAGGAGAGAGGGATTAACATTGTGAAGACCTACATATATGGCATTTGTGTTAGGCTTGGAAGGATGAATAAAATTCAATCACAGAAAAAAGAAAAAGAAAGAAACACTAAGCATCTACTGTAGATAAAATATTTTTAAAAGCAGAAGACAGGAAACATACTACATGGATTGTTCAAAAGTAGTAAGAGTAGGAGATAAAATTTGAAAAAGAATAGAATAGGACAAGGTCAAATTGTGAAGCCCTTTGGATATTATGGTGAATAACTACACTTAATGGCTATCCCAGAAAGAAAGAAAAATTAGAATAATTTCCTCAAGTGAACTATATTAAAATTATTATCAGGATTTATACAGTAAGCAACCTTAGGGCCTCAAATATCCCACATATGAGTGAAGCCATATTAAATGTCCAGCTCTGTTAAATATCCCAAAAAGTGCAGTTACATGAGGGCTCCAGATAAGACCAGCAGAAGAACCACCCAGCTGAGCCTAGTCTGTATTTCTAAACAGTAATTTAATAATTTGTGTAAGACAAGGGGTGCTGTTATAGAAAAAAATTAAATTGTGGCATTTGCTTTGGTTGTAAAGGCTGGAAGAGTAGCAAGGAGTTGAGGGTGGAAGAGAAGTAAAGCAATTGCTATTGGAGATAATAAAAGGTAAACTGCCTATGATAACTGGGAAAATAGAAAAAAATACTTCATAATGTTGTGGATCAAATTAAGACTGTTGCTCAGCTCTTGAAACTGGCAACTAGCACCTGGACAATTCTTATAAATGAGTAGGATGACTCAGAGGGCAATTTATATTGATAAACTTCAATGAAATATATTTTAATTTTTAAAGAGTAGAGAAAACTGGCTTATGCTTCATAAGAATATACTGCAGACATTTTATGCAAATATTAAAATTTTCAAACCATTGGAAGTGCTAGTGAACTTTTCAAAACCCATGTGTTTTGTAAGTATATAAAATCTTTAAATATTCACACACACTACTATTACTCATAACCCTTTAGTAAATAAAAGCATGTTTTTCTTACTTATTCTCATCCTTTTAATAATTATAAATACAGAACAAACAAAAAAGTCAGTAAATTCAATACAGTGCAATAGAAAACAAACTTGTAAATAATTTACTATTATGAGGGGAATATATCTACTTTGTTACTATTTGCCAAACAATAAATGTATTTCCATATTTGTGTATTGATTATGAGTGCTAAAATACGAAAAATATTCATATAGATGATCTCTGTCAAGGATATGTAAAAATTTTAAATGTATATATTTATTAGATTAACAAACCTTCATAAAGCAATTCACATAAAGAAAAATCATTTCATCTGGAAAACTATAGGTATTATATTATCATAACAATGTGAAATGGTATGGCTCTAAACTTACGTATAGTAAATTCGAATGTTCTTACCATGGCAAGAGCCCCCGATCTCTTCGTATCCTGCACTGCAGATGCACCTTCCCAGAGGAACCAGCCAGTCTCCGTCAGCTCCGCAATACAGTTTAGGAGTGTCACGCTCTTCTGCACTCTTCACACAAGCACCCCTTACTTCAACCAAAGAGGAAGAGTCAACCCTTGGGATGGTGTCAGGAAACATGGCCAAGTTACGTACAGTGAAGGGGCACTTTTTGTAGAAAACACGGACTGATACCAGGGCAATGCATGCCCCAATGTCTTGAAAAGCCAGATAAAATCCTTTCCTTTCTATAGGCCCCACCTCACGAATTTCAGTGTTGAGCTTGAGGATGCGATCACCCAAATCCATCTGGGTAAAACTTTCATCAGCAGCAATTGTATCGATCTTTGTATACTGGCTTGGCTTGAATTTAATTCCATGGGACTCATCTGATTCCACATAATACAGATTAAATGTTTCTTTGCAAGTCCCCAAGACCCACGGGATGCTGTTACAATCCCTCAGGGTGAACTTCATTTCCACATAAATTTTCTGAGCTGCATCTCGGGAGATCCAGTTTGTACGAAGCCAATTGTTTTGATTTGGTTCCATTACATTGCATACCTGGTATGTGTGAATGGGCCTGTTATGTTCATCCATTTCAGTAATGGCATCCCACTGCAAAAAATAATAAAAAATGTTTATAAAACTACAGTGGTTAAACAGAAATTATTGCTTTCCAAATTTTCTATTTTTGCAAAAGAAAATGAATAAAAAGGATACAACTAAAGCTAGTCCAAGCAACTATACAGCAAGATTTTACCCATGACCTTTGGTTACGAGTATGGGTTTTGGATATACCACCTGTCTTGGCGAATCTTAACTTCCTATATAATAGTTACATGACTAAGCGCTACTAAATTTAAACTCTGGTTTTCTTAAATGTAAAATGTACCTAGTGTCACAAGGTTGTTGTAAGGCATGAATTAATTAATATATGTAAAGCACTTCAAATAGTTTCTGGTATACTATAACAATGTAAAATGACATATCTGATCAAATAACTAGACCAATGACAAATGCACTCTGGTTTCCCATTTATCTTCATATCCAATTTGCCACCAATTGTCCTCATATCCAATTTTCCACCAATTGAGTATAGTTACCATTATTAAATTAAATATTTACATGTTTATTTTAATAAGAGATAGATATAGAGAAGCCTTAGATTTATTCAAAAAATATTTAGCAGGCAATGTTCTGGACCCTGGGAATACAGCAATTAACAAGCTAAACAAAATGCCTTGCCTTTATGGATCTTACTTACAGTGAGGAGAGACAATAAAAATAAAAATTGTAGCCCTGGCTGGTGTTGCTCAGTGGTTAAGAGCATCAACCCCTCCCCCTTACTCCCACCCCAGCACCCATGGGTTATGGGTTCCATTCCTGGTAAAGGGCACATACCTGGGTTGCAGGTTTGATTCACAGCCTGGTTGGGGCGTGAATCTCTCTCCCCATCCCTCCCTCCTTTCCCTCCTTTCTTTCTATTCCCCATCTCTCCCTCCTTTCCACTCTCTCTGAAAAGTAATAGAAAAATATATCCTCCAATGAGGATTAACAAAAGTAAAATTCTATGGGACTCATCTGATTTCACATAATACAGAATTTTTATAAAATATAAAAATTAAAATTGTAAGTGAAGAATCTGCATAATATAGTAGAAAGTACAACGGGAAAAATTAAGGCAGGAAGGTGGAGAAGAGAGTTGCGATTTTAAATGGTGTCCACAGAAGGTCTTACTGAGGAAGTGACATTTGACCAATGCCTCAGAGTTGAGATAGTGAACCTTGAGAAAATAGTACAAATATCCTGAGGCAGGAATGTACAGGCATATTTTAGGAATACCATGAGTGGGCGCTAGAAGCACAGTAGGTAATAAGAATAGAGAATCGGAAAATAGCAAAAAAATAACCCTTTACAAGCTTTCTAAGCACTCTGGCTTTTATTCTGTGCTGGATCACTAAATATACTGCTTCTGCATTTTACATAAAAGCATTCTGCCACCTATTTAAACAGAAGAACCTTATTTATCTTTTTAAAAATTTTAATGAAAATCTTTGAGTACTTTGTAATTGTTATTGTCAGTATTTATACACAGAATATTGGATAAGTCTATAATGTAAATTTATATTGTAACTGCATTTTATTTGTATATAGTTGTAATTTTCAAGAGAAAAGCCATTCTGAGAACTTTATAGCCAGTTGGGGAAATAGGCTATTCACCAGTTTCTCATTTCTATTAAAGTTTAGTGAAAATTTTAAACTAGCTTTATAGTGAATAAATGCTCAATTTCTTGATTTTTATACTGTAGTGATTTATAATAAAATTACTTAATGCGTTCTGTTTGCAGTTTCTCATTTTAATTGGCTGTACAGTCATTTAAGCAAGGCTGGTTGAGGGTCAATTATTATAGTTCCTAATAGAATGGCTACTTTCTTCAGTCTACAAGTCTATTTTGAGACTAAGTACTTTTAATTACCTATCATCAATTTCCACAAATAAAACATTTACATTATCCACCAAGAAAACTTAAAAATAATCTGTATCTAAAGTTTTCATTTGTAAGTTGCTTGCTTGAAATTCAGAGTATTTTCCAGAAGTAACAGTAAGTTCCTGTGAAAAGACTTTGTACACACACCTGAGGAGACAAAAGGAAGCTAGGTAAATAGGGACAGGGCCACAGGAAGGGAAATGACACTGAAAGCCCACCTGGATGGAGTTACCGGGACAACCCAGCTGGGCAGGAAAGGACAGCACACACAGGAGACAAACGTTAAAATGTATGGATGTTGCTAAGACAGGCAGCTTGCTGATAACCAATCACCAGGTAGTAAGGTGTAAAAACCAATTCCAAGGATGTTGCTAAGACACAATTCTTTGAAAGGACCAATCAGGAATTAAAAAGCATACATAAAAAAGTGCATGTACTTTCTCTCTCTCAGCCTCCCTGTGCTAGATTCTTGAGTTAATGGCAGGAGATGCACTCCCCATCGCATGGCTTATGACCATGTGGGCCTCCACGCATGGACTATAACACTTTAATTACCTCGGATACTGAACTACTCCCGACTGTAACATGGAAAAGGAAGCTCTGACACTGGTCTGCTCCTGGAATCCCAGTTGTACCTTTTTCAGGATTGGCTTCTCTCAATAAACTTCAGTTCCACTAATCGTTTTTGCCCATGACTTCATTCTTCAATGTCATGAGACAACCAACTTGAACTCAAACACCCACATTTCAGTTTCATACCCATTGTTTGTCAGGGTAACCCAATCTCACAGAAACTCACATAAAATTACCCATCTTAATACTTTTCATCCTAGCATATCATGGGCCGTAGTAAGTATTCAAAGGATAGCAATGGTCATGAACTGAGGTGGTTTTGTAGGTTTGGCCAAGAGGGGGAGAGACTTGGACCTTAAAGAATTATAAGATTCAATAAGGCAGAGGGAAAATAGTAAATAGAGATTAATGTATAACACTAACCTCTATAAATACACATTAGAGACATTTTAGCCCTGTACAACATACATATATCCAGTGAGTTAAAGTTTTTGTCCCTATTTAAAACAAACACACACATAATTTATTCTCTGCTGTGAAATACTTGTATGTACACAAACCTGGTAATTGCAGAAATCACATAATGGAAATATGTATCAAACCAGTTATTAATTCTGCTATTAAGTTGGTCAATTCAGTCAACTGCATGCATTTATATAATAGGCAATAAACCCAAAATACTCTGACTTGCCAAGCTCATTAAAAAAAGCAAAACATATTTTACATGTAGGTATTAAAATAAAATACCACCCCAGCCAGTTTTTCTCAGTGGATAGAGCATAAACCTGTGGACTGAAGGGTCCCAGGTTCAATTCCAATCAAGGGCACATACCCAGGTTGTGGGCTCGATCCCCAATAGGGCGTGTACAGGAGGCAGCCAGTCAATGATTCTCTCTCATCTTTGATGTTTTCATCTCTCTCTACCACTCCCATCCTCTCTGAAATCAATAAAAATATATTTTTAAAAATAAAAAATAAAAAATGCCAATATATGAAAAATTACCAATATACCTAATGTAGAAAAGAACACAGTAAGTTAAAAATAAATCATACATGCTCTGCATAAAATATCTTTCAAACTATATCTGTTCTTATGGCCTGGATGAATAAAATAGAAAGCTTTTTCTGTCTCATGGTCATTTTATAAGCCCTTTCTTGGAATCAAGGAGTAGATAAATTATTTACAAACTAATGGGTAAAAAAGTTTTCCTACTCAATGAGAAGTTTATGTTAAGCGAAAATTAGTTGTACAACAAAAGTTTCTTTCTTTAAGAAACTTCAAAGGCACCTTAGATGTAATGACTCATAAGGACAAATATTTACATACTGAATTTATACTTGTCAAAGCTTTTTCACAAATGTTAAACTCCTTTGACCCTCATCAGTCCAATTAAAGTAAGACAGATTACTTCTGTTTCACATTACTGAAAAAAATCCAACACACATATCTAGGAATTAAATTGTTTGGTGAGGCATGGACTGACCAGGCTTTCTAACTTATCTTTCTGTATTTTGTAAGTTTTGCTGGCCTCAGACAGATAGCGCCTTCCAGGACTAGCAAATTCTTAGAGACAGCTAAGGGCTCTGGCATAGAGAGTATCTTTCATATGCAAACCTTGTTTTAACTTTTTATGCCCAAAGGAATTTAGCTAGTTGGCCTACTTTACTTAGCTTGCTATGGAACTACATAAAATAAAACAAAACACACACACACACACACACACACACACACACACACACACACACACAAACAAAAAACAACAACACCTAACTGTGTGTAGGTGGGGATGGGTTTTTAGAGAACCCTTAGGCATAAATGGATTAAGTACTGTTCAGAGCTCTTTACATTTCCTATCACTTCTAACAAACATTTGCGTTAAATGGGACTGCCCAAGAGATCCATTAGTGGAGAACTGTTCTTGGGTGCTGTAAAGCATTAGGCTGTATTCACACACTTTGACAACTTCAGTCCTGTGCCAAGTGTTCTTTAGTGGGTAAAAATCCCTGCCCCTGTTTAAGACAAGAAAACACATAAACCATTTTCTAATGTGAAATATTTAGATTTATGTAAACATTGTAATTGATGAAATTGTGCTGTAAAAATAGTTGGTTAATTCTGTCAGCTTCTTGCTTTTACATAATAGGAACCAAACCTGAAATATTCCAACTCTTCTATCTCATGTTGTTTATTTGATTTTTAAATATTTTAATATAATATAAAAATAACTCCCTGCCCAGACTTCCGGACCCTGCACTCCAGCAACCTGCACTGTGAGTGCAAACCAAGGGGGCCCTGCGCTCCGCCCTGCCCAGGCCCCAGGACCGTGCGACCGGAGTAAAAAGGAGCTACCAGTGCGTACCCTGCCCAGGCCCCCAGGACTGAGATACTGGGGCAAGCTGGAGCCACCCAGCGCCCTGCACAGGCCCCATGACTGTGCTGACAGTATGGGCCAGGGGCAGCTGGATCAGCATAACACGCAGGCACAGGAGCGCACTGCAAGTGTGCTGCTAGAGGTACCTAGGGTGCCACCATGCCCCGGGCGCTGGGGCCGC